ACCCGGTAAATTTCTAGTTGCATTTCACTATCCTTTTTGTATGATTTGCCGTAATGACAGCACAGGTGTTAGGTAAAAGTCCATCTATATATTTCCTCGATATCCTACTGCTACATGACACAGCTTTGAGGGTTTCAGCTCATCAGTGATTTCTGGTAGATAGTCTGATTTTAAAATTTCGGCTTCTTACCCCCCTCAGAAATTAATAAGTAGGTTGGAGTGAATTTCAGAGAGAGGGGCAGAGGGGGAAAGAGCTATTGTGCCAGAAATGGCAATGCAGAATGCTGATATTCCAATGTACGGCAATAGGTATATCGGAGGCCTCGGCGCATGTGGCGTGAGGACATCAAAGCAGTTGCTTCAGGGTAAAGAAGATGGACAAAATCATTCAGAATTCAATCAGCAAATTGTTTGACGGTTGTGGAATGTCGTTGTATTATAATATCGACTAAAAAGAAATAAGAAACACCAGCAGCAGAAGAAAGCATTCGGAAAACCCGTTTTAAAATCAACAAATATTTTTTAAGAAAAGCAGGAAGAACAAAGAGAGAGCTATAAAGAATGAGAGGAGACATATAGGTATCTATAAATTCCCATATTAGGGGCTGAGATGCGTGATAGCAACGTAAATGACGAACACAATAAAAAAGTTTTCGAATTTTAGTGGAAAGGATTTCAAAATGAAGGGAGAATGAGAGATCTCAGGAGAGTCACACCAAAGTACTGGAAAGAGGATCCCTCGTTAGGAAGATTATCCAAAAATACAGGAATGAGAGAGAGAGAGTCGCAGTCGGAGCGTACACTAGATCGATTTATGATTGTTAAGTACGATACCATTTCCCAACTACCATGCAGAAACATGGTCCAAGCCCTCCTTCAAAAAGTGAAAATTAGTCCGATTTTTAAGAGGTTGACCAACCACTGTATCGTCAGCATACTTAACATACATGGAGTCATTTGGCGATCTCAGGTAATCAGTGTGAAAGAAGACCTGAGGGGATAAAATGAAACCTTGAATGACTCCACAGCTATCGGGAAGAACAGTAGATTTCCGCCTCCCAGACTGGACAAATTGAGTGCGGAAAGTAAGATAATCACTAAACTAAAAAATACTCCAGTCGCGTGCAGGTGTTTTGGTAAGGAAAAGATGGCGCAAGATAGTAGTGAAGGCAGAGTATTAAGAAATGCATATGCGTAAGTATGGCAATCCTTATCTAGATCTCTTAGAGCAGAGCAGAACGGAGCGGAGAAGATATGATGAAACCTTGAAGGACTCTACAGTTATTGGAAGAAACAGTCGATTTCTGTTTGCCGGATTAGACAAACCTGGTGCGGAAGGCAAAATGATTTTTGAGCCAAGAAGCAATTTAGCCAGGAAAACCGTACTCGGATGTTTCGCTGAGGGGAAGATGGCACACGACTGTGTTGGAAGCAGAGGAGTAGTCGGAAAATACACATGTGTAAGCACGACAACTCTCACCTAGATCTGCTAGAGCAGAGTGGAACACAAAAGGAACATTGTATCCAAGGTACTGCGTTTCTCTATATATATGAAAATCGGAAAGGGTCGGAGAAATTGGAGGAGAAAAGAATAGTGGCATCCAAGGCAACTCTTTCAGCGAACACCAGAATTTCGAAGGGCAGGCAAGTGTACGAAAGGATTTAGGATCTGAATTAGTGGATTTCTTAGACAGAAGAGTGATTATTACTGTGCACCAAGCGTCAGAAGTCTTGCACTCAATGAAGGGCATGCTAATAAGGTTTGCCAAAATAGGGGCCATCAGGGAAGAACATGATTTAAGGAGAACTGCGGAGATACCATTCGGTCCGGTGGCTATTAGTCTACGGACCATTCAGAGACCCTTTTTCACTGTTACCACAGACACAGGTGAGAAGACACACGGTGGTGGGGAAGTGTCGTTTGAGGGAAGATTGGAGTCATCAGGAGTAGGGATAGAATTTTAATTTAGAGTCTAAATCAGTAACATGTGCCAGTGTGTTACGTTGGCCGATGAGTCGCTTAAGATTTCTTTACCGGTCAGCAGAGGTAAGCGGAAAAGTAGTAGTGGAAGAGGAGGAAAAAAGTTGACTAACAAACAGATAATTTAGTCTGACAATTTCCCTTCTTATTAAAACGTCAACGTTTACTAAACTACCATACTCTATTAGTCTATAAAAGACCTTATTATAACGTCTCAGGCATTTGAGCTATGTTGAGGGGGTTATCAGGAGGACAACAACTATCGAAAATTTAATTTAAGAATATCGTAAGGTAGGTAGAAAACAATTCGAAATCCGATAATTTTAGAAAAGCTAAGATAATACTAGTTATAAAACTCTGAGGCGAAAGAATGTTTTCTGTGGATGTGTTGCGGGTTGACATTTTCCTCTTAGGTCTGGTTAACAGTTGGCAGTTACAAATGGAGTAGAATGCTAGAAGGCCTACTAGCCCTGAGTTATCTGAATCGGACGGCAGAGCTCTGTTTTAACACGAAGAAGGTTAGGGTGATTAGTCTAAACGTGATCAGGAGGACATCAATTGGAGTACTGGGGGAAACTTGGCTTAGTCCGAAAGTTGACGTGTATATTTGCGCCAAAAACCAGCTACTGCGGAATAATCGCGTAGTACTCATAAAGTGCCAACAGGCGACCAGTAGTCTACAGATGTTCTATGATTTGCCGTACTGAAAACACAGATACAAAAAACGGAGTGCCTTATAGGCTCTCCAATTTTCCCATATGGGAATACGGGGCTCGGTTCAGCATCTATAACCTCCCACACTGTGCTCTCTGACTTGTGACACGACTTAGACTTCCCGGTGTTTGCTGTTATCTGGTCTGGATGAATGTTTTTGTGCAATGCACACATGTGGAGGGTTCTGACGTATCACATAATGTCAAAGTGTGCTGTGAGACCTGAACCGACTCTGTCCTCCCCCTCCCCTCCTGTTCAAGTCGCCCCGAAACGGTGGTCTCGGTGCGCGTCGGATTCTCTTGAGTGTCACATCTGAACTTACTAAAATCATGATCAACCCTCCAAAATACTGTACTCTTGGTTCGCTTAATGTTTTGTCCGAGTCTCTCGCACATCACATCTCAATAAAAACGACACTCTTTAGCTGATTTCAGGGTCTTATTTTGACATTAAAATTGGTGCACAAAGTGACGTTTTATGTCTCAGAGTTTTTTCGCCTCTGCCCGCAGAAACACCGAGTTGCCTTCTCCTACAATAAGGAAGTACGACTTTACGATTTCCCGCTGAATCCTCGTGGATGCGACCAACCACAGTTTCGTCCTTCGAGGTGCGCTCTGCTGTTATTATGCATTGCATATACTTGCATGCCGTCCCTCTTCACCGTTTACTTTCTGGTTGATCGATCAGACAACGGCTGCGTATTCTGGCTCCTTGTGCGTTTCCGCGTGAACTGTGCAGACTATGGCCCATCCAGGATTCCACTTTGGTTCCATTCACAATGTGTGTTGGCTTTAATGTTTTCAGCGGTTCGCTAGCCTCTTCTAAGTTAAACTAGTGCGTAAGACATTGGTCTAGATGCCCGGAGCATACCACTCATGTTGGAAGAAAGTAGTACAGAAGATACTGTAGAGAATGCCTAGGTATACGTGCCACAAGTGTAAACTCGTGTCAGTGATTGGAGCGATCTTGTCAATCGCTACGAAGCACTTGACACCGTCCAAACCTGCTCCTTGGCAAGATAAGATTTTATTTTTTTAGCCTACCTGAAAACGAATGGAGCCAATGGTTTAGGTGCCCTTCAATATTTGCGACCGACGGGTCCGCTGAGCGCCCTACGTCTGTGCAGTTAAATGAGTCTTTTCTGGCCAGGGTTACCCAAAAGCTGCCGGCGGCCTTCTCACGGTCTGGATGTTACCCGTAACCTTCGCGCCGAGTGAGCCACCTGCTGTAGAAGGATCGCTCTTACCAATGATTCTCCTGCACACAAAAGATGTGTGACAAAGTGCTTACTCATACTTGTGCTTAGCACGGTATCCATAGTGGACGTTTCAGCCGTTTGCATACTGCGGAGATTGATTGTCTCACGAATTCGAATCCTGCATTGTAATCTTTGAGCGACAGGCTCCCGAGCGAAGTTAAGGTAATTTTAGATTTCACCAAACCCACTGATATCCTCAATTCACTGTCAATACCGTCCTCTACCGGCAGCGAATGAGAACGAGATGACAGCCCGGAATATTTCCTCTTCAGACCGGTGCAGTGCATCCAGGTCAGATTGTAAGGAGAACGTACCTCACCCAATGGTGTTACCAATCAACAGTATATTTTGTATTGGAGACATTATTGGGACAACTAATACGTAGGCTAAAACACAAGTACAGCCCAATACACACACCCAAAGCGACATACATATTTTAACTGCGCAGGCCGTGCTATAACCTAGGGGAAGCGTGGTTTGCTGTAGGCCTCGTATACCGGCAGTTTTGCCTTTCGGCTTATAAAACGCCGTTTCAGAGGCTGTTAGCAGTCGTGCGCTTCGTGGATTTGCTTTTCGATTTCATCTTTTTCTGTTAGGCAGAAGATTCAGGCCGAGATAGTAAAGGCTCTCCGATTACCACACGATCTCCACCCTCCATAACGACCAGTTATCTCTGGCTATGTAAGTGGGGATGGACGGCTTGGAGATATCGTAGGCCCACTTGGCTGCTTTCGCACTTATCTTGGAGTCGCACTCTGTTTTTGCAGAGTGACGCCATCTAATAAATCACCCATTTTTGTCGGGACGTTGGTGTACAAGGCAATTTCTTAATAATCCCTGATACTTCTAGTTCGAGTAAAATACATGGGACGCACTTCAAGTCGATGGTTAGGCCGGCTGTCTGTCTCAAAGCGCTTTGTTCTTTTGTTTTCGGTCTCTTTTCCTACTTTCGATTCTTACTACTTCAAATGTCTTTCACCCCTTTAGGTCCGTTGATGTTGCCTCCCTCGGTGTTCAAAACGTACTTTTTCAGCCCAAGCCGAGGTGTAACTCTTTGCCAGCTGTAAAAGTCCCTGTGACGTCGAGTTTGGGACGCAAAGCGCGCTCGAAGAGTCCGCATGTGAGTAGTTTTATTGCATATTCCACCCTTACATACAGAGCACGTATAATACCATTAACCTGCCGCCACTAGATAGATTTACCTGACATCTACAGCTCAAACATCCCGTAAAACTGAAAGTACAACTCGATAAGACAGTCAAATTTTGCCCCGTACATCATTACTCGTCTTTGGTCACTGGGGGTTACCTTGGGTGACAGTCCTGCTGCTGCGTGCCCGGCTGCTTGTCCGCGTTGCACAGACTATCAGGGCGATCAGTTAACTTTGAAACTGATTAGGTGCTAACGTTGGCTCATTTTCGTTCAAGTTGACCCTAGATAATAGGTACAGATGTCAATAATGAAAATCAAAACTGCGCATCGTATCTTCGGCCAGGCTCTGATGGAGTTTTATGCCCAACACGCATTCCATTGCAAACTGCAAATCTTAAAAGATATGGCGTTCCCTGAAAAAGAGCATGATTCTGTCATCCGCCTGACACTATTACTTCCCTAGTTTGTCGTTTTGACGCGGCGTTCACATGCTAAGTTCCAAGCTCCGGATTAGGATGTTAGTAATGGTGAGGTGGGGGAAGGGAAGGGTTTTACGAGCGATTGTGGTGATGCTGCCCATCCATTCTACGGTAGAGTTTGCAAAACTTTAACCTCTTTCACCCTAAACTTCTGTTCATCAGGCGTGGAAATTTGCTTATGCCTCCTTTACTGTCGGACATCCTTCCTTTTTAAGCGGCCAACAAACTCGCCCCGAGTCTTGTTGCGGAGAACCAGGTCTTCAAGTTCTGCAAACCTGTCAACACTGCATCGCCCGAGGCCGGAAAATACAACCCTCAACCCTCCAGGTCTCACTTTAAATTTCATCCTTCCATCTTATTTGTGTTCACGTTTGACCTCGTCATGCACCTCAAACCCCACTTCTTTGAAAGTATTATTATCCGAACCCCCCCTTTTTTTTCCTAGACGAAGATCCCACCGTCGCCGAGACCGTGGCTGCCGTAAAGGCTCTGCCGTACGTCCACCGGCGCCGGCGCCGTCGAAAGCGTCGCGCCCTGACTCTTCAGGTAGACCCCTGCGTTCCTAAGGATGGGACGGCAGAGTCGGAGGACATGAAGGCTAGGCAAAACTTGCACTGTTCCACCATTGTGGGGCCTATGGAGGACTTCAGTTGGCGCCTTCTCAGTCAGTTATCTCGGGTGTGTTACTCGGAACATGCAGACCACAGTCCCACCGTTGCCTCGACCAATGGAAAGACATCATTTACAGCAGATCAGCAGTTGATAAATCTGTGCGAACGTCTGAGAATACCTTGTCAATTTACCCAGCTGCCGAAAGCCGAGGATTGTCTGTTAACAGTAGTTTCTGTACGTTCACCTTGTTCCGGGCTTCCTTTATGGTCTGCATATTTACACAATGCATTCTTCTCCTCTAGCGGCCGCAAATGTGAGGCATTAGTTCTCTAAAGACGAACCCCTCACTACCTCCCCTCATACAGTATGTGCAAACGCTTCGGGCTCAGTTTAAGCACTACTGATTCTTCATTATATATCTGGTATCAAATTAAAGTAGTTCGGCTCAAGTGCCCTTAGCCTGTTTTGCCACAACTTTGTTTTCATTTCCAGGAAGTATGAATACGAAGAGTAAATTGTATTTACTGGCTTTCGCGAATTCCCTTTCTGAAGCATAGCGGAAAGACGCAGATAAAAACAGCTGAATTCTGTGCATTTATCTCAGCGACATTTCCGGAAGCCTTTGTTAATAATCCCATGATTCGCGCAGGTAAGGAACAACAGCGGAACTCTAATACTTTTTCGGGGCGTATCCGCACGGAAGTATTATGCAGCTTTCGTCAAATGCCATTATTTAAAGACCCTCACTTGAAAGTTCCTAGTTCTCTTGTTTCAGCCCGAGAATGGTCGTCACCATCCACCGCGTACCCATATGGCCCACGTCCGCTTTCTTCTACAACTGGGCTCAAATCACATCTCCAGTCTGCCCAATTACGCTGCCACGGCGTCCTGTACATCAGTGTCGCCGGCCACGACCTGTGCTTGCAGTGCCCTCCACAAACAGCAACAGGGTGGCTGCTTCCTGGGTCAGGGTGTTACTGGGTCAGCCGCCCGCCACCAGGCAGCCCTGCAGGCTCTGAAGTGTCTGGCCCAAGTTGTCTGTTAGCCCCAATCTTGGAAACCCACACGCACACAAACAGCTACTCTCATCCATGTGCTTGCTTTTGCAAGTGCCTTTTTACAACACCTCGTATACTGAAGTTTAGAGAGTGACTCGCATTTACACGGATCTGTTTCAGACGTAGACCTACTGAGCTCCACCGGCAGTGTGACAGTGAAGTGTTTTTCCCTTCGTATTTTTTTCCTTCCTTACTGAAGGTCGTTGACGGCCCTTTAGTTCCATTATGTTCAGACATCACAACTACGATCCACCTATCCCCTGCTGGTAGCCGTTCAACTCTGCTGATATCTTCCAGCATGTTGGGCCTGCGAGGACAAATTTTGCCATCACTTACTGCCCGGGGGCATGCACACCATTTCTACTTGGAAGGAATGTTTTACTGTTTCCGAAGACGTCAATTTTCCAAGAAGGAACTTGATGAGGTGCTGGACCATTAGGATAACAATTGGGTTATTTGAGTCGCATCGCTATCGGGTTACTTGCAAGCATGTTTCACCTAAGCCGTAAATGACCTGTCGATATCTTATACATGATGCAAAGTGGACGGCAGGCAACGACCCCTCTACATTTGTAACATTACTTTGGCATTTTATTAGTCAAGTGCTATGTGCATCACGATAGTATTCCGGTGTCCACGCAAGTACAAATTTTTTACCCTCTTTTCCACTGATCTGTCACTAATACCTGTTATCCTTCTGAGTTTTAATTCTAAACAGGAATTTTGGGGAAACTGTCAGAGCTTTACGATTCTTTTCTCAAACACGAAATACTTGCCCGAGCCGTTTTGCGGTGCATTATTGGCCGACACTGATTAGGATTATTCCTGCCTTATTCACCCTATTTATGTCGGATACCTCAGCTTCCCTATGCAGCGGCGTATCAGTGTAAAATTATCGAAAACTTAAAAGTTCCCAAATCAGAATGCAGGAAATATAGTTGGATGGACAAGCCTCCACACACACAGTGGTTGCAGCAAGCGTGGGGACGCAACGTTGTTGGCTTCGAGCTCTCACAAGCTGCTGCCGAATCGTAAGTGAACCCTGTGGCAAATTTACAGGGATTGTGAGGCGGACACAAAGGCGACGTGAGTAAATGAGCGCCCTGACGACCGCCGAAGCAGACTGCCACAGCACCCCCACGTAGACCGAAGGCGACGTGTATCGAGGCTGAAGAAATTGTTCCTGCCCAAAAAACACAAGTAACCAACCGGTCAGGAAAATGAACACGGCGTCCATCCCGTGTGATACGGACGTGAGGGACAGGAGGAGAGGGTTGAGTGCGCGCTGCGTTAGCAGAGTTGGAGGAGGAGGATGATTAGATTACAGTTGTAGGTAGAGGACACGACAGGCAGGTAGTAGACGGGATGGAGGGGCAGAGGTTGGGGGGGGGGGGAAGGAGCAGGCGGTGGGGAATGGGGTAGGGGTGGGCACTTCTATCCTTGAGCCACGTCCGGCTGTTCGTCTGTATCGGCAGTTTTGACCCGGTCCATGCTGATCACATCCTCCTTGTGATACGATGGATCCGACAGGTTTTGGTAATGCGTGTGTGTACCGGGAACGATCCTTCGCGTGGTGGTTCCTCCGGCTGCGCATATGGTCACTTCGGACGAACACGTGAGTGCAGTTGGACAATCCCTTTTCTTCATAAGACTCGGTCGGTGGAGTTCGAGGAGAAGCCGGGGAATGCATACTCATAAACTGCTGCAGACGATGCACAAAACTGGCAGGAATCTCGTCGACACCTGGAGAGGTTGGAATGACCATCTCGCCCGACGGCTAGAGGGTAGTTCCGAGCACCTATTCGGCTGCGCTACAGTCCGTATCCGACTTCAGTAAAGCTCCAATGCCAAGAAGTGCTAGAGGCAAACGCCCAAGCCAGTCTGTCGGGTCCTCCGTGGGATGCAGGACTGTCTTTAGCTGACGGTACGAACACTCAACCATGTCGTTGGCTGCCGGGCGGTGGGCCATCGCGTGTGCAACCTAGAAAGGTGGAGGACATGGAAGAGAGAAGAGTCGAACTGGGTGCCTCGGTCAGTCGTAACCGTGGGTAGGACGCCGAGAATGGCGACCTAACGATTGACAAAAGCTGTGTCAGTGGTATCTGCTTCCACATTCAGCAGAAGGATGGCGTCAGTCCAGCGTGTGTGCCGATCGACACAGGTAAGGGGATCAGCGTAGCCATTTGATGTAGGCAAGGGGCCTACAACGCACAGGTGGACATACCTGGACCGTGCTCCGGGGCTTGGGAAGGTGCCTGGTGGAGACATGTCGTTAGGCCTCACCTTGTTTCGCGAGCAACTCAGACACGGTCGTGCCAAAGCTTTGACGAACCGTTCCGCGAGGATCTTTTGTGAGGCTCGGATCCCAGAGTGAGAGAATCCATGGAGAGTTTGAAGAACAGCTCTATACATCGAGGCGGGTACGAAAGGGCAGAGGGAATCGAGACGTCACAAAGGATCGTGCATATACCGGTGGTCAGGCGGACGTCTGTGTGCTAGAGACCACCGACGAACTCATCGTCAGGGCAACCGACTCATCGCAGCTCGGCCGCCATGGCAGTAAATTCGATCCCATGTGAGAGCTGGAATGCAGAGAGGGAAGGTCTAGGTAGCCCGTCGGCCACTTTTTTCCCTGTGCTATCCATCTCGCAGATGTCGGTGGTGAATTGTGGCGTTTAGTTCAAGTGGGCAGTCTGCGGATTATACTTGTCAGAGTAGGATCGCAGGCAAACGTCCGTGGCTTATGGTCCGTAGCGAAGTCATGATCCCCTTGGAAGTGTTGAAGACGTTTCACTGCCAGATGTACTGTAGCGCCTCTCAGCCGGCAACAGTTTCTTGGAGAAGGCCAATGGCCGAGTCGGACCCTCAAGGTGCCGTTGAGCAACCGTGCCCATGGCTACGGTCGAAGCTTCAACCATTAAGGACAGAGGAGCCTAGAGAGTAGGACGCGTCAGTCAGGGAAGCTTTACTTCTCCCAAAAGCAGTCAATGCCTCACCAGCAAACTCGAGGAGACAATTGGGACCAGAACGCATGTTGCTGAGCAACGTCATGAGGTCGACACATTTAGGCAGGAAATGAAGAGAAAAATTGACCATGTCAGGAAAACGTTCCAACTGACGCTTGGAAGCTAGTTGAGGAAAATCATGAATTGCTTAAACCTTGGAGGGGAGAGGACGCAAACGTTTTGAATCGACATGCTAGACGAGGGATTCAAAAGAAGGCACTTGAAAGGATTCATGACGACGCCGAGGATCAGTTTATAGCTTAGGGGTGTAGACCGGGGTCAGGACAGCAAAGGTCGGCTGGAGTGGGAGGGACAGCGCTGATCTGGGCTGCGGTGTCCTCGAGAATACGTCTGACAGCCAGGCGATCGAAGACGTAGGTATAACCAGGACCGCAGGAGCCAGGAAGATCAGCTGCATTGACTTCCGGCCTCACTCGTGTTACTCGCGGGCTCTGATTCATAATAAAGGAGCAGGGAGAGTTGCAGGCACGAGTCTTGTCACCAAATGTGGTGTGATACCTGTAAGTGATAGCTGTACCGGATCGAGACGAAGAAGCGCTTTGTACTTGGCGGGTGGATGGCCTCGATGCGTTCCGAGCCGAAAAGGAGGCTGCCGACGGCCAATGAGGGGCTAAATTTTATGCGGGATTCGCCAACAGTGAACTTAAATTCAAGAGAGGGGGCAGAGGAGAAACTGAGGTTTTTGAAAGTGCGGCAACGTATGGCTCGATGAAGTCATGGGTCTCCATCATGTTGTTGGTCATGTGGGTAATTTGGATGTCTAAAATAATGCCAGATGCGGGCTCCAAAAGCACTAAATTTCCGGTAGACAATTTTCTTTTGTCAACGCCTGACTATAACGGAGACTGCGAACGAGATAGGGTGGTGCTCAGACGGAGTTACCACATGTCGGAGTGCGATGGCCGACACCTTAAAGGTTCCCAAATAAAAAGGCAGTAAAGACAGTTGAATGGACAAGCCTTTGCCGAGGCAGGTTATACGCAGCACCGTACGACGTTGCGGCGGGCGTATATGTGGCGTTGAGGTTGCTGCGCCCCAGTGCCGACCACGTACATCTTGATCTGAGCTGCGTCCGTCTGCAGTCAATCAGCGAAGGGCGCAGCATGATTGGCTTCTAGCATTCGCAATCTAGTGCCAAGTCGTAAGCGGCTTCAGCGGCGAACTGACAAGAAGGGTGAGGGGACATGGATAAGTGGACGTGTGACGATCGCGGAAGCAGACTGCCGCAGATATATCCACGGTGTGCGATCAAACCTATGACCGCAATTGCCCGTAGTGCTTGAGAACGGAAAATGGTGCTCCCGTGAAACTTCAGCACTGACCACCCTGTAGCATAATCCAAAATACATTTATGCATCGCAACATGATGGTTTTTGGTTGAGCAGTTTTCCACCATATTTGTAGGCTACATATAAAAATGCCGCTTAGACACTGTGTTGGACCTTGATACATTTGTAAGTTCAATCACATTTTGAGAAAGAGGAAGAACTTACCGGGACGGAGATATGGTTTCCCGGTTTCCCGGATGTACTTGCAGCCCTCATCATTTCAGCACGTTTGATGGATAACTGTGGATAACCGATGACTTCAGCGCGTGGCAGCGTTTCTCTTGAAGGCATCATATAGCGACTCCATAGGTGCCGTCGTCGAAATTGGGGGCAAATGCGAGAATCCACAAATGACAAGCCAGAGAATGCAGGGCTTTACTCTAGCGAAGGAGCGTACTGCGACCTCAGCAAGCAGTGATAGAGGGGCGCTCACCGGTCGTGCCACGGAACGCAGTCGTGCCGTTGTGCCTTGGGGCTCTCTCTCGAGTGCCGCCGGCAGCCGCACTGCGGCGCGTAATATAGGAAAAATAGCACTACCGACAAAGACAAGGGAGACTGGAATGGCCATTTCTGGCTTATTAGCCATCGCACGCCAGCCGTATCCGGCCCTGAGGTGTGCGTTACCTGGGATCC